ATTTTTATTCGAATGCAGTTTTATTAGTTTAATTAAATTAGTTGTTTTATCTAATTTTTATTCATTTTATTTAAATAAATTTCAGTAATTAAATTTGCCATGGTCACGTTCCTTTTACCCTAACTACAACTCTGACAAGGAAACGTTTAACGTCCGTACTGTACTTGCAACGACAACTTATATCAGGTCAACTAGTCTGCCATATTCCATCCTTTTGCAATACGAATATGCCTTGCCATAAATGTTTATTCTACATTTATAATTGCATTATGTTATGTTACCAGTCGAACTGAAGTCGAAGTATATAGTGTTTATAAATGTTAAGCTATATTTCTGGTGCGTCTGGCGACCTTCTAATAGTGATAGATATAGAAAATAAATAATAGAGAATAGATATAGATGATATAATAAATTATGAAGAAATAGATGATATCCACTTCAGTTTAACTCAACCTTACCTTATATTAAAAAAAAAAGATAATCATCTCCTAAAATAAAGAAAAACTACTCCAATTCTGGTACATGGCATAGTCCATCAGTAAATATATATTGTAAATTGTTTACGCTTTTAATATCAATAAAGCATTTGTGTCTATGTATTAAGCGACCATATAAATTAATGGGTGACACATTTCTAGTATCCGAAAAAGCCATTTTTGTAATTGTAATGACACTACTTATGTCCAAGAAAGCGCACTTGAGCTCAAATAATAGTTCATTATAGTACCACAGGAATGGCGTTTGTTTGTATATAGACTAAAAGACCAGTGTACAACTAACGCTGGAAGGTAACGATCCCCATATTAGATAAAGGTGAACCAACATGAGAGTTACATAAAATTGGCTAAGTCGCTAATTTTGGAAAATGACAGCGTGGTAAGATCAGAAAGAAATGATGGCCCTCAGATTTTAGGTCTTCTCCTAGCTAAAGACATATATCACTGACATATGAGATGAATCACAGTTTTCTCCTCATCCTCAGAGCCACAATCACAACAAAAGTCATTAAAGCGTAGATCCAGTCTCATAGCATGCCTAGTTATTATGCTTTGGCCTGTCACCACCGATACCGTAGTGCTGAGCAGATTGTACCTTGGTTGAAGTAACTGAATGGTAAACTTTTTGTCTAAAGTTTTTTTCATGATTTTAGAAATTAAAATTTCTTTTAAATTTAAATTTTCTTTTATTAAAAAGTGCAGCCCGAAATGAGTTCAATAACAATTAGCACGGTGTTAACATTAAATATAAATAATCATAATTTCTTACACTATTAATTTTGTTAGGACCTTTTGAGGCCTAGAGTAAAATTTAGAGTTTTGTGCCAATGGTCAGACTGTCGGTTTTTGAAGGAAACATCGTAGACCAAATAAAGTATAAATATGCTTTATCAGATGGACGATCTGAGTTTCCTTAGTCCTGTCCGTCTGTCCGTCTAGCTGTTTTATTTTAAAGTCTTCTTTGAATTTTTAAGCTATTGGAATGTAACTTTGCATACAAATTTTTCGGAAGCAGACTATGATCAATTACCTAGTTGGTCAAAATTGGAACACTATATGATATAGCCGCCATATAAACTGAACTATTCGACATCAATTATCAGATTAATCATAATTGGAACACTGTATGTTATAGCTGCCATATATACTAAACTATCCGACATCAATTATCAGATTAGTCATAATTGGAACACTGTATGTTATAACTGCCATATGAACTGTACAAGCGGATACAGGTTATTTTTTAATAAGCGGAATAGATTTTGACTTCATCCCCTCCGATTTATTTCAAGTTTTTTTAAGAGCTTTTTTTTTTAAAATAGAAATAAGGAGTTACGAACCCATGAGGCTTTGAGAATTTTTCTAAAATTCTAACTGATTTTTAAACCTTAGATGCTGTAAATGATAGAATTTCTTGCATTTTAATTGTAAAAATAATTGATTAATTAGAAATGGGAAGAAGTTATAAAGAATTGGATTGAATTGAATGAAATAACAAAGCAAGTAATTTGGCCTGTCTTGGTACTTCTATAGATGTCTCTCAAGAGATACCGATTAATGTTCTCATAAAAACAGTCTTGGTACTTCTATAAATGTCTCTCTAGACGTATCGATTTATGTTCTCATAGAGTCTATGAAGGGGGTTCCTATGTCCACTTTTTCAACAACTAATAACAAATGAAAGTCGCTCAAGTCGCACATGTCTTCCATGCTGCTCTACTTGGTTTGTGCACAAAAATATTAGATTTTGAAAAGTTTTTCAACAATCAATATTCCTGCTATACTTCTTCAGAATGTCTAGCAAAACACCTGCGTATTCTCTTCGACACTTATTGTAAAAGTTGTGAAAACGAAGGAGAAACAATTAAATATATTATCAATGATGATCCAACTTTGAAGGAACGCATTTTTAGAAACATATTTTATTAACAATTTGATAAGCATCAGAAAGGACATAATATCTGTTAAACTACATAAAATGACAAAGAATTGGTGCAAATTCCTCGCAGCAAGAGATTCGGTTTGCTATTTTATACACACGAGCTTTATGAGACCGAGACTAATGCCGAGTCTTGTTGGAACGTCCATAGTCTACCAACACACAACTTACAAAACATTTTCCCGATAATAAGTCGCATTGACTTTGACACCACGCTCAAAAAAAACGTTTGGAGAGTATCCATCGGCGGTCACAGTTCTATATACCATTACTTAAGATGGAAGAATACTTTGAGAGGCCATTCAAAGTCTCAAATTTTCGACAGTGAACGGCAGTATGTTCAGTTAAGTAAACATGATCATTTTGAGAGTTTATTAACTGCTCAATGGGGTAATTTTTCTCATCAGAGAACACAATGTCTAGAAATTCAAGCGTAATAACTTCTTTGCTCTTTTGAGTCTAACTGTTTGTTTCAACGGCTGAATGGAATTTTACAACATATTTCCAATAGACATTCACAATAGATTGATTTTTAAATTTGTTAACTAAAACTTTACATAAATTTAATACCTTAAATTTTTTGCGAGTAAAATCTAACTCTGAAGATTTTACGAGCATTGTTGTTGCATCATATGTTTTCCTTCGTAAGTTGCGAATATTTTTTTGCTACTTTGGAAGAAAAAATTAGAGCTATTATTAAATTTCTTAATTATTCTTAATTATTATTTACAAAAACTAATTTGAAGAATATATGATATATATTTGTGTATATTTTTTATTTCAAAATAATTATTATTAATTAAAAATTAAATTTAGTTAAAGAAATCAAAGGGGAAATATGCAAAGCTTACCATTTTCTTAAAAATTGTTGATAAAATTATTTTAATTAATATAAATTAATTACGTCTATTATTAAGTTTCTTAAATGTTGTTTATTTTCTATTATTTACAAAAACTAATTTGAAGAATATATGATATATATTTGTGTATATTTTTTATTTCAAAATAATTATTATTAATTAAAAATTAAAGTTAGTTAAAGAAATCAAAAAGGGGAAATATGCAAAGCTTACCATTTACTTAAAAATTGTTGATAAAATTATTTTAATTAATATAAATTAATTTTCATCATAACACTTTATAAAAGAATATAGAAGTAAATTTTTAAAAATTAAATTCACACTAAGCAATTCTTCATATTTCATTTTCATTCTAAGACTTTGTATACATAAATTTTATTTAATTCACTTAATTTTTATTCAAAAAAATTTTTTAATATATGTATTTATTTATTTAATATTTTATTATTCATTTCATATTATGTTTAAAGTGATTTATTTAAATAAAATCCTTCAAATAAATATCAATCAATTTTCGCTTATATTTACATTGAAAAAAATTTAAATTAATTTTCACAAACTGCTTAAATGGGATTTTTAACGCACCACAATTGACCAGGAAAATGCAGACTACAACAACAAACCAACACAAGTTCTAAGCAGAGCAATGCAGCGCTGCAAGCTGCGTAATTTTAGTTCTATATCGTTTGAATATGCAATGACTGTATTCTATTTTGTATTAACCAATGCAGCGCTGCTGGCTTTTCATACTTCACTTTGCCGATAATAAACACACTACGCAGCTTTTTATAGTTTGCATGTAAAAACAAACATTAATTTTAAGTCAGCAGCAAAAGTGGAATCCATTGAACTTTGTGGAATTGCTCCTTGCGTTTGTCATTTGCGCGACGCACTACGTTTTTGCTCTCTGTAGCAGCGCAGTAGTGTACGAAAAACGAAATTTTACGTATGCAATAAGTCATTCCGATAACTTAGAATGCTCTGCTGAGCTGCGTGAAGTGCAGTCAACAGCGCAGTTGACTTCATTGCGGCATACGGCACAATTTGCCATGGTATAAAATTTACTTAGGAAAATTATTTTTAATTTTTTTAAATTATTTTAAATTATTTTTTAAATTAAAATTATCAATTCATTTAATATAAACAAAACACATATTAATGCTATTAACCAATGACTGTTAATCATATAGAAAGTAAATTGGGACGTGTATAATTTCCCCGGAAAACCGCGACAAACTAAAAACTATAAGTAAAAAAATAATTAAAAAAGTAAAGCAATAGCAAAATAATTTGTTAAAAATTACTGCAATAGTCGGCGGAATTGTTTACATAGAAGAAATCAACAATAAATAAATAAAGCTATCAAAAAAAAAAAAAAGTAGTTTAAATTGTTAAAACTAGGGCTAAAAAGTGTACTCGCATTGCGAAGTTCGAGCAGTTCAATGCGCTCGAGCATTTGGCTCGAACGCAAAATTGCTCCGAAGCTCCAAGCAACTCCACTTTAAATATTTTATTTTATTTATTTTTTTAATTTGTTTTATTTATTTTATTTATTTATTTTTAATTTAAAATTAATTTTAAAGTTAACTAAGAATAAGACTAGACTACTAGGTGTTCTTCGCCCTGCTCAATAGAAGCCTAGCTCTGGTTAAAAAAAGTTATAAAAATATAAAAAAGAAATTTATAGTAAAAACGCAATAAAAATATAAATATTAATTTTTTAAATTTTATTTAATTTATTGGTATTTTTCACATAAGAAGTTACTTTTCACATTAAATCGCACTTCGGCAATTGTTTCAGCGAATCGATTTCACATAATTATTTTAGAAGTTAAGAATTTGTTTTTGTGTTCATTATACTTTTCCTTATTAGATTTTATATAGGTGATTCCTTGAAGCCACGCGCAGCATAATCACGCGGTTCGTTACGATCGGATAGTTTAGGGAAACCTTCATCGCCCGGATTACACGCAGGACGAGAGTTTATAACACGCCATCCACCTTTGCGCGTCCAATCCTAAAAATAAAAAAATTAAAAACATTAAGTTCTTATGATAATTCTAAATAAATTTTAACAAGCATATACTTAATAATATGAAAAATCTATTATTGCAGTATTAAACTACACTACACATGCTATATCGTAAACTAACTAGAGCTCAATCTGTTTCTAACTTCATTCCATTAACAACTCCATTCCATTCTCCATAATTTATGATATTAAGATTTTGTCTACCCTTGCACTCACACGTAGTATTTTTCCAAACACGTAGTTCCCTACACATTCCAACAGCATCATTTTTGCTGAAGCCTTCTCTTCAAGATGCATTCGTCGATCCCTTTCTTCCTATCAGAGGTATATCGACAACTATTACAATGGAGCTAATATGAGTTAAATCGAATATAAACATGGAATATAAACATATAAACAAGATGCATTATGCTCTTCGAGACCACAGTTAAACTGCTAGCAAAAACGATGCCTTCCATATTCAGTAAGAACTGTCCTAACTCAATTAAGATTAGGATGCCATGTGCTGAACAGTTACTTGCCCAACATAAATGTCTCAATTTCAAGTATGTACAAAGTGCTAACTGCAGCTTTACCCCTTTTGATGTCGCCCCATCTGGTTTTCTGCCCCAACGTACACACAAATTTGAGTTAAATTTTTGGACACGACACATAGAGGTTTCTTCGCCTTGATTCTGGTTGACTTCAATTTAAGTGCCACCCATCCCCAATACATTCTTACACCTATGTAGTCGTCTCACACTACTATCACCTAGCCACATCATGTTATCTGCTTAATAGATTTCTTTCTAGTTATAAACACACCAACTTTTTCACTGAACCGATCAAAATAAAAATCAAAATAAAGTGAAGCAAAAGTCTCGGTAGCACAGCTCAAAAAAATTGTTCTATCAAATATTTTATTTTCAAATTTATTTTTACTAATATTATATATAGTTAGAAAATAAAATTATAGCATAAAAGACAACGATTTAAATATACGGACATGCTTACAGAAGGTTGAAATATGAATTACGCAATCGAAATTATTTTAAGGATGATTATGCTATTGGAACTATCAGCCAGAATTTTTAAACTCAAGGCAAACTCCTTAAATTATATTATAGACCATATGCGCAAGTAAATTTAACACATTGTTCATTGTGTGATCTAGACCAGCCAGAGGATTCCAATTCTGAAAGAAATGCGCTACAAATTCTATAGAAAACACACTCTTACAGAGAAGGAAATAATAGAGGCATTAAACGGAGAAAACTGGACCGCACACTCTGGCTATGTAAGAGATGCAATTACTTACAGACAAAGAATAATAAATGAATATTTTTAGTTTTAAATAAAATAGAATAAGAACGAGAAAAATAACTACAATTCAACTTTAATATACTTTGATTTACTTAAGCATAATTCCTTATTAGTTAATTAGTTTGTGGCAGACGGCACTTGGGCCATGCCTTTAGTTCAATAAGTAACAATATGTCAATATGTAAATATTTTACAATTTATTTATTAGTAGCATAAATTAACGTGTAAGATTAGTTTTAAGATTGAAATATTATACTCTTTTTGAACTAAAATAAAAATACTACTACTATTTAAATTGCCAACCGAAACGGTGAAACTACATAGAATATCAATGTTAGATATAGCAATGGTATATCTGTATATATATTACGGCAAAAATAGTTATGGGTGCCATCTTATTTACTATATAAATTAGCAATGAGGATTATATGGTTACTTCACAAATTATTGTTTGGTGGTTTGTAACAATCTAATAAATAAACGAGCCTACTGCCCCACGCAATTGTGTTCGCAGGTCCACAAAGTTCAATCAATTTCACTTTGGCGGTTGTCACGAAATTGTTATATATTTATACAAGTAAATCCCATTCCGTTACTAAATAGTGCATACACTCTAAAGACAGGCGCTTTTTAATATTCTTAAAAAATTAATATCTATTGAAAAAAAATGCTCTTTAATGCTTCCAATTGCATGAAATTTTATCAAGAATGTGCATTATTTTTACGTGCTAAACTATCCTCAATAAAACACTTAACAATACAATATTTGAATCAAATGAATTTCAAAATAAGTTCACGATTGGACGATTAAAAATTTAAATCAGCAATCATGCCACCAAAAACTAGCGGAACACCATAGATAGCAAAATTATCATTATCTCGCCTACATAGGGGAGTAAAGTTTTTCTACAACTAACTCCAGAATAAATCAAAACAAAGGGAAAATAAGTTCATACATTAATTAAACAGGTAGCAGTACGAATCTATCTGGAGCTAGTAACAGTATAAACACGAAATGTTATGATTTGACAAGGACGTATTTGTAATTTTTTTTTTTGTTAACCGACAAAAGGTCTAAATGGGTTACTATAACAGTAATATTTATCAATAAAGTACTATTGTATTGCAAATTGCCAACCACAGACGGCAATTGCTTATAAAAAACAATAAATCTGTCAGCTAGAATGGCTTAGAAATTCATACTGCTGCTTAACATCTAACTTTTTAATAACATAATTAGTTTATGTTGATATACGTTTATGTTTGACTTAATCTATGCTGAACAACATTGTTGTTGTATGCCGTTGAAAGCGATCTTCGATAATTATTGATGATATTGAAAGTCGACTTTGGTAAGCAGAAACACTTACTTTTATAAACTTTCCTAATTCAAATACAATTATCTCCTAATATTTTAAAGATATTTTATAGAGATTAAATGTTTTTATATTAAATAGCATATATAAATTTGATAAATACTTACATTTTGATTATATTTAAAATAATATGCAGTCGCATAAACAAATGTTACCGCCATAGCAACTTTGCCCAAATAGAAACGCACGGCAAATGCACGTTGAAAACCCTTCAAAAAAAATTATTTAATTAAATTGATTTTAATAATGTATAATATTTTTTGTAATTAGTAAGTAATTAACTCAATAGGAAATGTACAATAAGGTTATGCCTTTGTATTAGCGTTCGTTCACTTCTTTTAGTTACATAATTTGACGAATCGAACAAAAGTGTCTGCAATGGAAAATACTTACAAGTGATGGTGTAAGCACATCGCAAAGTTTGTCGAGAGGTGCTTTATAAAAGCGTCTTATGGGATTTGTTAATTCCAATTCCAATTCTGGCACACGACGAGGTCCATGAGACAATTGTAAATCTTTTAAATATTGTTTACGCCATGCACGTTCTTCACTTGTCATACCAATGAGACGCTCACGTTCACGCACCAAGCGCCCACCCAAATCCATGGGTTTAACATTTCCGGTATCTGACGATTCCATTTTTGTGCAATATTTATAGCACTAAAATTTTGCAAACAATATTAATATTTTTACACCTAATCAATGAAGTATGAAAAACTAAAAACATCAACACACACACATACCTCTTGCACAAACAGCTGTCAAAAGATGAGCTGTCAAAATCACTTTGCGAACACAGTAAACAACATAGCACAGCAGTTGAATACAACAAACGTCGACGTTTCACGGCAATATATAGTGGGGTTTTAGTGTTTTATGAAAATTAAACGATATTTGATAGATTTTACTCTGCAATACAGCAATTTAACGTGAATATAATAAAAACGAAACTAGTGAAAATAACTTTCTATTTTAGTTTTATTCGCGAAATTGATTTAAGTGCGGTTCTGTAATTCAAGTACACAATTTGCCGGGCAATTCGAACCTGTAAGAAAAATTTTTTTTATTGTGTTATAATATAAAAACTTTTTGTTGCAAATTCTGTAAGTATGTAGTTTCTTTAATTAACTGGTAATTAAAATTTACCAGTTATCAGCAAAGTATTTAGCGTAAAATTATAATTATTTATAATTAAGCATTGTGGCAAATATTTTTGAGATTAACTTTAGCAAAGGAATATATGTACTCTGAAAAAGTTAACATATTACAATATAAAAATATTCTAAATATAATTAGAACAGATTTAATCCAAAAGAAATATTGCTAAATCAAAATGGTCGCACAAATTTGATATAAAATTTAGGCGGCCATTTTAATTTGTCCTCCTCAGTCGTTCGTATACTGCGTCGGCTTAAATCGTTAGCTTACGAATACGTGAACTTTGTTTGTATGCATATGGTTGTGGTTACATTGCATGCAAAGTTTGTCTTGCATGTTCGTACATATGTCTTCTCATGCGAAAACATCGTATATTGCGATGTTTGCGATTGACAATTGTGTTTTGTCTGTTTTGAGCACAAAATGTATAGTGAAGTTGAAACATATTTAACGAAAAACTCGTTATCAAGTTATTTTATAATTTCAAATAATAAAAGATAAATTTGGGAGCATGATTTTTATTCTTCAAGTTATAAAAATGTAGAGTTTGTCTATTCCTTAAACAAAGAAATGAACAAATTGCAAACCATTTCCTAAAACCAGTGTATTTTTTCACATTTATTTCCATTTATAAACTTAAAATTATGTGAAAATAACACACACTTCTCAAACGAACGCATGAATTTCAAACAAAATGTTTTGTTTGATCAAATATTCGCATGATAAAGATAAGACGTCGCGCAAATAGTTCTTAGCAACTGTAACCACTCATAAATTATAATATACATTTGATTTGTTCGTACGAACACACAAGACAAAATTCGCATGCAATGTAACCGCAGCCTAACTTAGGCGCCGCTTGACTAAAATTTATAAAGTTTCAGTAATTTTACTATTTTCTTATATAAATTATTTGGTTTACAAATACAAATTCAATAATATTTTAATCAGTGATTAATTTTAATTTGAATAAAATATATAAACATTATAAATGCATAAAGTTAATAAAGTTACTATATCAATCTGTATCGGTTCTTTTAGCGTTATGTATATAATCTATTTCATCCTAGCCATGTTGTAACGTAATTTTTTAATTTTTTATTTCATAAAATGGAACCAAACGATTTGTTTTGCACGATATAATTACTGTTTTTATAAGATAAACCCATGGCATATTTATTTATTGTTTCTAATACATAAATTAGAATTAAATATTTAAACCAACTTCAGGATGATTTTATTAAAGATTCTGTTTCATTATAACAGAAGCTATAAGCTAACATTGACCATTAAGTATGATATCACATATCACGCTCGAGCTAATATACTTTCAATATTTCTATAAAGCAACATAAAAGTATGCGACAAACACTTTTTTATAAATAATTTTAAAATACTCGAGTGCTTGATTGTTGTCAATTGCTGTATAAAAAGCTTTTACATTGAAAAGGTTGTTATTTGGAATAGTTTTGTAAAAACAAACTGTATGCTAACACATTATTTTAACTTTGAATATTTCTTTTGCTTAATAAAAAAATTTTAAAATGAACGTGCTTCAAATAGTTTTAAAAAAACAAATTATATCTAAAAATGTCCCAATTACGGTCTCAACTTATTTATCAAAAGAATTTTTTAATTTTGAATTTTTTTCGCCAACAAACTTGCCTTAAATACAAACAATTTATAAAGTTCTTAACCTATAATATGTTCGAAATAAATGACAGCTAAAAAACAAAGCTATCATAGTAAATAAAAAAACAAAAACGTGGGAATATTAATAGCAATTATATTTTTAATATAAGTTATTTTTTGGTGTAGTGTTAATTATATAGTTGAAAAAATGGATGGTATAGACGATTTATTTGGTGCATTTGATGAACAAGAAGAAGAACAACCATCAGTGCTTAAGAGAGTTAGGTATATAAAAGCGTTCGTTCGTTAATAATAAAAAGTATAAACAAAAATAAATAATTTTTATTTGGAAACACATAATTTTGCTTATTTTTACAACTATATAAATTATTTACTAAAATAATTCTTGTTTTGTAAACAGAGAGCAGATACGAAGTGCAAAGCATCAATCGCAAGAACCGGTGGATAACGATGTGTAAGTCATAATTGTACTTTTTAGTCCTATTTTTGCTTCTTATGAAATATACAAACATGTTTATTAAAATATTTGTAATGTAAAATTTAAAATGTAAACATTTTTTCAGGCCTTCAGCAAAAATACCGCGTTCTGCAGTAGAAATGAGGAAATCCTTGGACAAGTATAGCTGTAAACAATTATATGTAATAATTAATTAATATATAAATCTAATAGATCTGATGCATCAAACGAAGCCGGTCCTAAAGTTCAACACACTAATGATAAAAGGTAATCTCATTTAAAAAATTGAATTATTACACGCATTCAGTCTTGTTTAAAAAATGACCGTTGAAACGAAAGTGTTTGTATAATAAGAAAATTTAAAACAGTTTTGCATTTTGCTTCATATTTGTAAACAATTCAAACACAGCGGACACCGACGAGCCATAAAATCTATCTTAGTAAAAAAAACTCGCCATTTGAAACTCTGTTTACATAAAGAATAGAGCGCAGCAATACGGCATGATTGTGTTGAGTGAGTTGTGGATTTTCGTGAAAAATGTTCAAATTGAGAATTTATTTTTCGACAAATTTTTTAAATATAAGCTTTATGCTGCTATTTGAGATATATGTGAATTAAATAATGGCAAAAAGTCTTTATTTATTTAAACATTTACATGACTAGCGTGTGATATATATGGCAGCTATATGTAAATCTGAACCGAACTTGCTATTACTTTGCATTAGGATGTAGGTCAGTTATACATTGAAAGTATGTAGTCCGCCATGCAAGAATATTTGATAACAAATATAAAATATTTATAAAATATATATATTTATCTGAATTGCATAATAACATAAGTTTTATAAAATTTGTTTTAAAAATTCACTAAAGAAAAAGGAAGATATATGGAGTAAGATAGCTGTAATGATGATGGTATAGTTATGCATAAAAAGTTTAATCTGTGTTCGCTTTTTGCGTACCACACAGATGAACATTCTAGGGCTAATAGAGCACTCCCTACCAGATGCTTTCGTCGATCCATTGTTTCCTACCATAACCATATCGACCTAAATTGCAATGGAGTTAATATCAGTGAGATCGAATGCTTATGGCCTATAGCCAAAAAAAAAAAAATCCAGATAGAACTGTGAGAGTGGAGTTAGATATTAGCTTGGATTCTTGCACTACAACAACTGCTATGTTCTATGCGGTTATGAATGCTGCAATTTCAGACAGTTTCCATATAAAACTTCTACAGTTCAACTGTACAATTCTAAGATCAGAAAAACAATTAGATGTGCTGTTCTATTTCTGGGACTATGGTTTAATACAATACCAGCCATTTTTAGTGACAATATAGTTTTTTGTAGGAAACACATTAAATGATTTTATGTGCTCTTTATGTCGTATTTATGACTAGCAACAATACCTGCTGGCATATGTTAGACCCGTCACCTCTACATGAAATTTTGTAGAGAACATCGTGCTCATCTAATTTATCCATGGAAGTTTTTGTATTGTTAAAAAAATGGTTTTTAAGTGTGTTAATGGCTTTGAAAGCTAATGTGTGTGTATCTTCATTATAGCATTTGGATTTGCTGAAATTTTCCGAAAACCTATGGATATATGTCATTGGAAGATAAATTTTTAGTTGGAGATCGCAGTTGTTTTTACGCACTATATTCCCTTGTTTTAGAAGAGAATATATGGTCCGTTTGGGATAAACATTTTGAAACAGGATGTCAATTAGAATTTTCATATTTTTCTTATGAAAAATTGGATCGCATGAATTGGTTCAATACACGTCTAATCAAATTCAGAGATGTGTACGGAATTATATAATGAGGATATTGAGAGTTGAAATCAATATATCGTCCAGTGTTTGTATAGGTTTTTGATACCATATTATTTTAAATTTATTATTGTGTCTTATTACTATTGCGTCAAGATAGGCAATTATTATTGACAATATATTAATATATATATTAAATATATATATTTCTATCTTACAGACACAAATCAAAAAAAAACCATTCCACTTATTCTCCAAAAAGGTACATTCCTCTGACTACTATATTTATATTGATATAAATATATATAATAAATAACTATTTTTTGGATTATTTTAATAATATTTCCAATTTGCAGGTCCACCAAAGAGAAACAAGAATCCAGGGAGGTTAAGACAACTAAACAACAAGTGGATAAGCAAAGGTAAACTATAATATTAAGTCAAAATTTTTATAAATACATATGTGGAAATATTTTATACGGATATATTTTAATTTTAAAGACCATCAAAATAAAGCACAGAAACTCTTTGCCTATGATATGATATATGATAATGAACTTCATTAATTAACACTAATGAGTCTTCATAAAATTGTTTGGTTTTTGTTAGCCTTTGTATGTTTTACTATACAGTCTACGTCGTTTTTTAAAATAAAATATGGCAAGTCCAATTAACAAACAAATTTTAAATATGTAGACCTTCCGAAAAGTCCATTGATGGACTGAGCCCACAAAATGATAAAATTAAAAAGAAACGTGACAGAACACGTGAAAAGAGAGCAGGTAGCACAAAGCTTACGGATATATCAAGAAACAGAAATTATAATTATAAAAATGAAAATGAAAGGTAAATTTGAAATTTTTTTTCTTTTTTTTATTGTGTATATTATATATCTACTCATATCCAATAAGATATAGAGTAATAACCATTATATTTATATGAGTGTTGCACAGGGTATAGAAAATTGTATAGAAAAACTTGTATCAAAAAAACAAGATGTTCAGAGACAGAATTTGGAATAAGCTTAATTTTAACTTTAAAAGCTTAAGACCCCAAAAAAAAATGGTGCGAGACAACAGTTTTAGTTTCAATAATAACCGGAATGCAGGACTAAAACCACTAACAAAATTTCCATAATAAAAATATTAAAAACATCAAAATGACTAAGGCCGTGTGCGAGTTCGAGTAAATTGAGGGAAATACTAAATTATGCCGGTAAGGTAGCGAATTTCGAGTAGAGTAAATTAGATAAAAATTTGGTAAATTAGGTGTTACCATTGTTAAAAGTTAATAAGTTGTTTAATAAATAAATAAATAAATTTAAAAACTTATAACCAAAAATAATAAATAAGTGCAATAAATAAATAAATATTTACATAAGTGCAGTGCAAAAAATCACTAGAAAATTTCAATTAACTTTACCTCAATTTACTCCAACTCGCACACGGTCTAAATAGCAATGCTTTGAGATTTTTGAGTATTGAGTTGCTCGCCCGATCAGGTCGAATATACTCGAACTTGACGATTTGGATCGAACGCTTGAAATGCTCGAAGATATTGAAGCTAGTCTAATTGCTGTTTTGTGCAACTACAAAAAACAACAGAAAATGTTGTTAAACTCCATATAAAGTTTAAAGGAATACTCGAATACAATCATACTTAAGCATCAAAATTCTCAAAGCTTAAAACAGCTCAATAACTAAGAGATCTGAAAGAGAAAACTGATGATTTATGTGTCCGACATTTTGTGGTCCTGGACCCCAAATCATATGTGTTATGAAGTCATATTTTAAAATGTTATGGAAGAAAGTAAATACCCCGAAATGCAGGATTTTAATTTGTATCCATCAAAACTATCAATGTTCCAAAAATGTTCCAAAAATTTTGATTTTACAAAATAATAGCAAATCTTCCGTAAAAGTTTTTTTTCGCAAGATTTTTTTCTAGAAACATCTCCAAGAGGAAACATTTACGTCAATTTAATATTAATAGTATTTTTCTATTGTAGTGTCACTTCCAATGTGAAAGAACATAAGGATAAAAAAGCGGTGAGAGAAGCGGATAATACTGTTAAAGCAGCTAGAGGATTTATCGAAACTGCTACAAAAAGTTCTCTAGAGTGCAAGTCTAGCGATAAAATAAAAAACGATAAAAATATTGGAAATAACGACTTGAGCGAAAGTAAACAGGATTTTGAAGAAACAGAAATTATGCTTGCGGGTTTACCGAAAGATATTTTTCTAAACAATATAAATATAAGAGTATTAAAAGCACCAGACTCCTGTACACATGAAGTTGCAGTTCTGACAGATCAACCTTATATTGAATTGGAGGAAAGCACAACAACGCCAGCTAAAGAATATAGTTTCGTTTTGGACGCCTTTCAACAGCGCGCAATACTGTGTATTGAAAATGGACAAAGTGTTTTGGTTTCGGCGCACACCTCAGCTGGCAAAACAGTGGTCGCTGAATATGCAATTGCCAAGTCATTGCTAATGAAACAACGTGTCATATACACGACACCTATTAAAGCACTTTCTAATCAGAAATTCCGTGAATTTACTTTGGAATTTGGTGACGTAGGTATAATAACAGGTGATGTTACTATCAATCCGAGTGCATCATGCCTAATTATGACAACGGAAATTCTACGAAATATGCTTTATCGAGGAAGTGAAGTTATGCGAGAAGTCGGTTGGGTCATATTTGATGAGATTCATTATATGAGAGATAAAGAGCGTGGTGTGGTTTGGGAAGAATCTTTGATTTTATTACCGGATAATGTACATTTTGTATTTTTATCTGCTACAATACCTAATGCCCGTCAATTTGCCGAATGGGTTACGCATTTACATAAACAACCATGCCATGTTGTTTATACAGACTACCGTCCAACACCTCTGCAACACTACATATTCCCGGCTGGTGGTGATGGGATATATCAAATTGTGGATGAAAAGGGTGTATTTCGAGAGGAGAATTTCAATACTGCTATGGCGGTGATGCAAAAAGGTATTTATGAATAATTTTATAATTGTAAGTTTTTATCACATTTCTTTATAACAGGTAAAGGACCAAAATCTAATAAACTGGGTAGAAAAGGTGGCATGAGAGGAGTTAATGGTGAACAATCAAATATTTTCAAAATATTAAAAATGGTCATGGAAAACAAATTTGCGCCTGTAATCATATTCTCCTTTAGTAAGCGTGAGTGCGAAGCTTATGCAATGCAATTAGCCAAACTCGATTTTAATATTGCGGCGGAAAAAAAACTTATCATGGAAGTGTTTAATAATGCAACTAGCGTTTTGAACGAAAGTGACCGAAATTTGCCACAAATAAATAATATCTTACCATTATTATTACGAGGAATCGGCATACACCATGGAGGTCTTCTACCACTTCTGAAAGAAATTGTTGAGATTCTATTTGGTGAGGGTCTACTCAAAGCCCTGTTCGCTACTGAGACTTTTGCTATGGGGTTAAATATGCCAGCGCGTACTGTAGTGTTTTCCGCACCTCGGAAATTTGATGGACAAAATTTCAGGTATATTTTGTGTGAAAAACTTATTTACTTTTAATATATAATTAATATATTTTTAATTGACTATATATGATAAAGAGTAGGTTATAATATTATTTATATGTATGTATTTTAAGTTCGTATATAAAACAAGTTATTTATTTTTTTATAGGTGGATCTCATCTGGTGAATATATACAGATGGCAGGTCGCGCTGGTCGCCGTGGTATTGATGATAAAGGAATTGTTATATTAATGATTGATGAAGAAGTTTCGCCAGCTACTGGACGAAGTATAGTAAAAGGTGAAGCTGATGCTATAATATCAGAGTTTCACTTGTCTTACAATATGGTTTTGAATTTATTACGTGTAGAGGAAGTCAATCCTGAGTACATGTTAGAAAGATCATTTCGTCAATTTCAGAATCAAACAAATATACCAAATTTATTTAACAAATATAAAGATAAACAGAAAGAACTTGCTAAAATGAAAATACCGAATGAAGGCAATGTTATAACGTATCATAATATTCGGACAAAACTGGAGAACTTAAAAACGAAATATATAAGTTGGTTAACAAAACCTCAATATTTAAAGCCCTTCATGCATCGTGGTCGTTTGTTACAAATCAAAAACGCGAAATATGAGTATGATTGGGGAGTAGTAGTTAATTTAATAGAAGAGAAAAAGCGGAATCCAACCGATACATCTGATGAAAAGCTTCACTTTCAAATACTTTTACATGTGACAGAAGGTACCGAAAAGGATGAATTCCCAAAACCATTTCAACAAGGTGAAAAGGGTAATATGGAAGTAGTAAATGTTTCTAGTGATGATATTCTGTCTATATCGTCATTACGTGTATATGTACCGGATGAATTACGCCAATCAGATCACCGTTTGTCGGTAGTTATGACAATGCGTGAAATTAAGAAACGTTTCCCAAAGGGAATACCTAAACTTAATCCAAAAAAAGATTTGAAAATAAAATCGAGCGAGTTCGATGAGATCGTCGAATTGATAGAAGTATATGAAGATCGGCTCTATAAACATTCTTTACATACAACTGAAACGGATGCTGATGTTTATCCATTATATTTAAAGAAACAACATATACAGGATGAATTACAAGCATTAAGGGACAAAATTAAGGATGCACGTAGTCTATTACAAATGGACGAACTTAATTATCGAAAACGTGTTCTTCGTCGGTTAGAATATGCGACATCATCCGATGTCATTGAATTCAAAGGACGCGTTGCTTGTGAGCTAAGCGCTGCAGATGAGCTTTTACTAACAGAATTGATGTTTAATGGCGTTTTCAATGATTTAACAAGTTTTCAAATCGCAGCGATGCTATCGTGTTTTGTTTGCGATGAAAAATCATCAGAAACACCTAAGCTGACTATGGAATTAGCAGAACCTTTACGCATTATGCAAGATTTAGCACGTCGAATTGCGAAAATATCAAGGGAATGTAAATTACCACTTGACGAAGATGAATATTTGGAGAAATTTAAGCCAACGCTAATGGATGTTATATATAATTGGTGTAAAGGCGCCGCATTTGCGTCAATATGTAAACAGACAGACGTTTTTGAAGGTTCCATTATACGTTGCATGCGCCGCTTAGAGGAGCTGTTAAGGCAAATGAATCAAGCTGCTAAAACTATTGGCAATACAGAATTAGAAAACAAATTTTCAGATGGTGTCAAACTTTTGAAACGAGACATAGTCTTTGCAGCATCTCTATACTTATGAACAACTTTCTTTTTTTTTTTTTAAATTTATGTATATAGTTTTTTTCATTAATTATTACAATCACTATATTATGTGAAAAAATATATATATTATATATATAAATATATGTATTATGCATATAGATGTAAAATATATTTTTATTTAAAAAAAGACACCTCTTATGTGAAAAAATATATATATTTTGTATATAGATATATCTATTATGTAAATAGATATTTATATAAAATATATATATATTATGTGAAAAAATATAGATATGTTATTTATGTATAAATATTTCTATTATTTGAAAAAAATTTCTTTTATATGAAAAAATATTTTTGTTAATTAAAAACATGTATCTCTTATGTGAAAAAATATTTCTATTATGTATACAGATATATCTATTATGTATACAGATATATCTATTATGTATACAGATATATCTATTATGTATACAGATATATCTATCATGTATATCGATATATTATAATTAAATAATAGGCTATTTATAAACTCAACTTAAAAAATCTATTGTGCGCTTATAGATATATCTTTTATGTGAAAAATATTTACTAGTAAAAAAATATTTCTATTATGTATATAGGTATATCTGTTATGTATATGGATATATCTTTTATGTGAAACATTTTTTTTATTATTTGAAAATATATATCTATTATATGAATAGATATATCTTTTATGTGAAAACATAATTTTATCATATGAAATAATATATCCATTATGTATATAGATATATCTATTATGTATATAGATATATCTATTGTGTTTATAGATATATCTTTAATGTATATAGATATATCTATTGTGTATATAGATATATCTTTTATGTAAAAAATCGAAATTACGTGAAAACATATTTTTATTATATGAAAAAATATGTCCAAAAAAGTTTTTATTATATAAAAATATATATCTAATAATATATATATATCGTGTATATAAATATATGTATCTATATATATTGTAAATATATCTATATATGAATATTGCATATATATTTATATGTCTATATATGAATATTGTTTACATATTTATATATATGAGAGAAACACTAAATAGAGTTTGCTCATTTTGTTTATTATGGTAACTATAATCGTTTATTGTTATTATTGATATGGGATGTGGCACTGCGACGGTCGATCGTTTACTATACTCATCTATGTTTATATCATGATCGATGGTCCACTGATGTAAGCCATAATCAGTCTAAAGAAGTAAATCGTTTTATGATTATGAGGCCTGGCAGATTTAGTAATTGTATCTTATATATTTAAAATTTTGAGTAATCAGATTCCTATATTCTGTGATATATGAATATAGAAATCACTCATAATTTGTATTACATTTGCTGCTTTTTCGTAGCTTCTCGCTTGTCAAATTAAGAATTGGGCTACCCACTTAAATTTAAACATTTACTCTGCTTTATTATATGTGTCATTCACTTTAAATGTTTCCCATAATTTGCAATTGCTATGCAATCCCACGGCGGAGAAAATATACCAGTACTAGTCCCAAGCTCTTAATATAAATGGCTATGTTAAGGGACAGTTCATTTCGTTCAATGAAATCCATACAGCACTGTGGTGTCACTGGCGACACCCCGGTATTCTTGAAGTATGTATCAGGATTACGCTTCGATTAATACCTTATTGTAATTATCAAGAGTTTTGCCAGTACTAATTGAAAATATACGTTCGGATATAGTTTCATCAATGGTATGGAACGGGGCCTATTAAACACCTTTTCTGAACTTTGGGTCACAGCAGCAATTTGGAAAATGCATCCAATGAAAGCGTATATTTGGGTTTTAAGCACCACCAACCTATGTTCATCAGCACAGCCAAACTTGCGGGCAGATAACGTGGTACCAGATTTATATATCTGGTTGGATGTTTTCGACAATAAGATTAAAATGATACCTTAGTGGTCAATGGCGTGCACCAAATTTGTCGCCACTACACTAAACTTTTGTATATACATATATATTAGATCAATCTTCTTACTATTATATATGTTACAGTCCTTCTGCAGTAATCATAAACACAATTTTATCACATGATAAATTCAACAGTAATCAGTCTTCAATATATTTTTTATATTGATCTTAAAAAGAGTGACCGATGTCAAACACGTAACCAAGGAGAAATGGCGTTCAGAAAATTCAAATAGAGGTACTCTTAGCCATATATATTTATGTAAAGATATTGAAGATTTAAGATACTGATACTATAAAAGGGCTACACAGATATATTATGGGTTAATCATGTCAAAGTGGTATGAACTATCGGGTAAAACAAATACTTAAACTTATAGAAAAAATTCCCTTAGTACTTACGTTTGTGATGTTTTTGATAAAATAACTTGTAATAAAACTTTTTGTAGGTTCGTTTAGAGCTTGAATATACTCAGCTGTCGCTCAAGGTCCTTACAAGAAATTTGTTTAATGAGAGCCTGATAATTCTGATTTGCCCTAAGAACTGAACCGAAGATAAAACGACCTTCCCTGTTCAGTGTTAAAGCGCTGAGGGTGTCAAAGACAGGTTACTGTTCAAACCACCTTATGTTTCCACAGATGTAATAAAGACACACATTACTCTTGAAACCATGTGTGTTATATTATGGACCGAAGACACAACACCCTCCCCTGTTCACTACTAAAGCGTTCAGGGCGTTGGAGACGTTAGGTTACTGTTCAAACCACCGTTTGTTTCCAAAATTATAGTAGAGACGTTACTGTTAAAGCCACAGGTGTTATACCTTGTGCGACCTGGATCTAATCACTATTAAAGCCCTGAATCTTGCTTTTATCACTCAATGGTGCCGCTGTCACTGAACAAATGATAAAATTCTGTATGTCTGTCCGTCCTTTCGAGCATAACACTGGAAACTAGACAATTGTTTTGTAAAAATGTACATATGTACTAACGTTACTGAATTAAATTTAAGCAAAAAAAATTACTTTTGACCCTGTTATATCCAGTTTTTTTAATAAAGGTTCAAAATCGATGTGTAAGACATGTCCCTCGAAAATGATGGAAACGTATCTCACTGCAGTAACTGCTTCTAGCAAAGAAATTTTACTTGAAGATGGAAAGCGCTATATTGTATTTACGAAAGTATTTGTAGGTTTTAGTATAAAAGTACTTTCCATGTAATATATGGTGAATCAATATTCTTTCGCATCAAGTAGGACATCTAACAATTAAGTAACTCTAGATTATGTTCCAATGGTTCTACTCGACTCTTCACCATATTCTTCGAATATTGAACAATAAAATATACGTCTTCACACTTTTCACATCATAATGTAGTTATGTAGTTATAACATACCTTTTTGCACATAACTGACACTGTAACATATGCGGGAGTTCTATAAGATTAAGCTTACAAGTCGTAATAGAATTCATATTTTTTTTTTTTGACAGTAGGTGGCAGCATCAAAAGCCACCGTGTGGGACTTGAACCCACTAAACCACCTCTTAGGGATAAATGTAGAAAATTTCCACAGCATTGTGAAAACTTCATTCCAGTAATCAGGGGAGAGAGGAGAAAAAATAGACTTAGTACCTAGGGAGCTAGATTTATTTAAACCAGAAAGTAAGAGCGTACATTAGGGAAATTGGGTTATGAAGAAGGGGGTGGGGTTAGAGCAGATGAGCGGGGGCGAAGTTAGTGGTAAACTTTGTGACTGGGGTCACGAAAGCCACGGTTATATAGGGGAATGGAGTGTAGGTTACGGTCCCACTCATTGAGGTAGTGGGATAGGTATTGAGGAGGTTTAAAGCGCAAGGCTAAAACAAGATCTTCAGGAAGGATTATAGGAATAGAAACGTCCAGGAGGAGCTCGTGGAGCCGGGTAAGGCACCTAGGAGAGAGTGTCAAAAGCTACTCATCAATGCGAGTGATCTTGTCATTGTCGTAAAGGACAGAAATGGAGAAGTGCTTGCCGTTAGGCTTGCGCTTATAATTGGTGCAATCCCGAAGAAGTTTCCGCTCAAACAGGCGGATTCTTTCCATTTGGGCGGAAGAGATTGCAGACCAAATGGGGAAGGCATAGGTGCGAGTAAGTTTTGTCGTTTTGGTTATTTTATATATGACAGATTGTATATAAGCGGAGCAATCTCGTGTTTAGCATTCGATCATGATACTCAACTATTTTGTATTTATAATTATATCGTATAGTTGCTTCGACTTCTCTCACTGCTTAGTATTTTGATATACTCGATTTGTTGACCACCAGAAATAATGGTCTAATTAATAACTCGGCTTATTTATCGATCATAAGATCGACTCTATGCTTACTATTATTCATCGAATTCCATAGTAGCGAAACTGGTAATGGATAATTGCGGTATTTCATATTTCACTTTGTTTGATAGAACTCAATGTAAGATCACCCATCAATATTGATCATAAATATAGTTCTTTTTTGGAATAGTGAACAATTCCCAGTGTGTATCTTAACTGCAGCTCTACCCCCATTGATGTCGCCCATACGGTTTCATGTCCTATTGCACACACAAATTTGAGTTCAATTGATCTTTGGTTTTTCCTATTGAGCCGACTACGTTTCACTATTTTGACTATTTAAAATCCCACCCATCTGTAATCCGCTCTTTTCCCCAAACAATTCTACACTCATCCGACCATATCTTAAACCATGTATTCGTATTCGTTATTTCTTTTATGCTATCTATTATATAGATAATTACAACCATTAGCAGATTAACAATAACAGAACCGACAGTTAAATATTGTCCGCTTTGTGGTATACTACTAAACAGATTTCTTTTATGGTTACAATATCTTCAATCTGATCCAAATTTGATCGCATCAAATTAACTTAATGAGACACTTTACCGTGATCTTAACATGGCCACAATAGCAGAAAAGGTTGTAAAATTTGGCACTTTAGTATTTGCATTTAGTCCCGACCGTATTCTCTCGTTTTTGCTGAATAAATTTTAACTCAATAACAGATCCAGCACCAACAGAGCTGGTTGATTGGCTCTTAATGCACAAATTTTATTTACTTCTAACTATTGCTTGTGATGTGTTAGGAACAATGTAAATGAATTAGTGAAATTATAAACAAATTGGAGTGAAAGCATTATTAAAATTGATTTTAGTATAAAGTGGACTAATCTATTTTGCAATTATACAATATTAGAAAAATATATTTGCTGATAAATATATTTGATGATAATAAAAATACTATACAATAGCTTTTGAATGTTTACTTATTCAAATAATGTCCAACGATCTGCTCAATCCAATCACGAACAGCAGCTACACGTGAATATACTCCGGGATAGTTAGGGCGCGCACAACCATAACCCCAAGACACAACACCAAATAAAGTGTTATTATACACAAGTGGTCCACCGGAATCACCTTGACATGCATCTTTGCCACCGTTTATATAACCAGCACAGATCATGCGTTCTGTTATGGTACCAAAATTCTTATATGCATCTTTGCAGTATTCCTGATTTGCTTTTGGCACAATTGCAGCACGCAACTGTTCAAGTTTATCCAGCGAATTTTGTGTTCTACCCCAACCGGACACAGTAAATGCAGTGCCATCGACAACGTCAACATTCATATTAGGCAATGCTACATAACTACTAGTAATATTCACATCGCAATAATTCTCTAATAATAAAATTGCGTAGTCATAATCAATGATCATGGAATTGTATTTTTTATGTTGATAAATTTCTTGAACGCCAATTAAAACACCACCTTTATTGGAGTATGTAGAACCGATACGTACTTTAATGCTGCCTGGCTTTAATCCTTCAGTACAATGAGCAGCAGTGAGGACAACACGTTTGGATAGCAATGAACCACCACAGAAATGATAACTTTCTTGTAAAGAAACCTGATAAGGTACTGCACTGATGTTAACATTTTCACCACCAACAATTCGCCCATCTAAGCGTGGTGGTCCGAATCCAGCGGCAACGATGTACACCAATCGTGTAACAAAAATTAAGTAAACGTATATGATGTGTAACATAATGCAGCACTGCTTCAGCTAAGTTGGCTATGATATGGCTAAATATTTGTTGCCATGCTTTTATATAGAAAGAATTTGCTAGCATTGACCTGGTATAACTGTTAGAACTAATTTCGTATTAACAAACACTTAAAAATAAAAGTGCAATGAAGTATTGCTGAAGTGCTTCTATATCGGTTAAGGTTTTATTTATCAATAACTGCAGTCTTAATTGCCTATAAATATAAAAACCATTATTTATATTTAATATATTTATTGTGTTTACACTTACTACGTTATACAAAAACATATTAACTAAGAGTTTCATATCTAAGACAAACAAACAATATTTCTGCAATAATTGTTTACATTTTGATCCAGGATATGAACTTGTTATTCGATGGCATGTCTTGCGCTATTTGGAGTGCTATTGAATTTTCAGCTGACAACCTCGACAACACAGCTATATCACGCACGCCCCATTCGGGGTTGCGTTCCCTTAAATGCTTGTCAAATTCGATATTGCTTTCTGGTTTCAGCACACCGTTTACTGCATATGGTCCGTACGTAAGGAGTACACCATTTTTTTTTAATAGCACACCAGCAGCACGAAATAAGCCTTCAGTGCATGCGAAAGGTGTAATATGAATCATATTGCTGTTGAATATATAATCAAATGATGCCGGCTGAAATTGATTGGTCCATTGTTTCATGTCTTGGGATATATCAACAAACACTGGTGGCAATATATTACCAGTAACACATTCCGCAGCATAAGCTTTTATGCTATCAAAGTGCTCAGTATCATACTCAGTAGGCTGAAATGTAATATTGGGAAAATGTGGCGCTATGTATCCAACGTGTTGGCCAGAACCGGATGCAATTTCAAGCATTTTCAAGCCCGGTGTTATTGCATCCACTCGTTTGAGCATAGCCTCCAAAATGGGTTTGGAGTTTCTATCCGCTGATGGATGCGTGCGTTTTTGCGTACTGTGCGCATAGCGTAATGGCGACAAATGGGATACCGCAGATTCATGTGTGCGGGGTACATATTTTGTGAATAAAATTGAAATAAATTGTTTGATAATTCTTTCATTTAAAAAAAAAATTTAAAAATGTTTTTGTTATAAAAATATAAATTAAAATTGTCGTAGTCACTACCTCATATTGTATCCTTTAAATTATTTCTTTCGTAGCTGTGTTCCTTGTTTTCAAAAGTAAAAAACAGCTGATCGAAGTGTCAGAAAGACCAGAGAGTATGTTTGACAGGAACACAGCTAAATATAGCGGTTGTGTAAATGTGCATCATTGTGCTCATTTACCTATACAATTTCGGACCACTTTTATATACTAAAGTCTCCTCTTAGCATTTAATATTGGCCACTACTGTCGTTTTCCATCAGCAAATCTGGACTTGCTCCCGATCTGTCATTTTTTGCTCAAATTTTGTGGCTCAATCGAATATGATAATGGTTATCTCAACATTAGGTGTATTCTTCAGCTCCGAAGTGTGGCAAAAAACAAGTCGCTTACTTTAAGTCGCTAATATGCACGCAAAATAACAACATCACTTTCTCTATGTCAGTGGTTGCCAACCGGTGCACAGTGCGGCCGATTGCCGAAAAGCGGGCTTGCTTTTAGATTATTATTTATTTTTATTATTATACAAAAAGTAGTTTGCATTATGTACACATATGTAAGGTTTGCTCTTTGCGAAAATATAACATATAACAGATCACAACAGTAATGACAATATGTTACCTAACGACTTTAACAAGTGACTTGTTATTTTTTGCCACTCTTCGGAGTTGCCGAATACTCCTATTATTTCACAACTACACATATGTTGACTAATTAGAATCGCACATTTTATTTGGTCTGCTTCACGAGCTACTCGTAGTAAAACTCAATTAAAACAGAAGTAAAGTACAAACTGAGAGTGTAACACGAATAAAGTGGCAAATTATGCTCTTTACGCAGATTTTCATGGAACTGCTTTGTGTAAAGCTGTTAAACAATACAAAAATTTAAAATCAAATCAAAACTGTTGAGTCACACATCAACACAAATTTTACTTGAAATAAAATGACAGGGATGTTATGCTCTCTCAGCTGCTCTCATTTACTCGAAAATTTTTATTATATATATTATTAAAGATTATATTATTAAAGATAAAAAACTTTGATGTGGTTATCCACAGTCTCGTTTCTCAGGTCCTTGAGTATATCTTCATTCCTGATATACCATGGCGGTTTTAGCATACATCTCAATACAATATTCTGATATATTTGAAGTTTTCTAATAGTGGGTAAAGCAGCATTGTCACTAAGCATGCAACCAGTTTGTCCAATTTGTGAAATATTTTGGTCCAATGAGTTGCCTTAGATTTTACTTCTAGAAATATGCTTGATATTGGGACTATAGCAAATGCTTAAAATAATTTAATATATTATTTAATGAATAAAATAATAGGCATTAAAAAGGAACTGCAACTGCGGTATATGTTATTGGCAACGGTTAGGTATGTAGTTTCATCGTACTACATTCTCAACATCGTAAGAGATATAGTAATATATATCGGTTAATATATCCAGCTATATATATCCGGCTGAATTTTGACGAGTGAGTTTTTGTGTTTCAGGTATTAGGAATAATTGACTTCTGGCATCTGTATTTGTAACAAACGGGTATCACAACTAGTTGTCTCTCCAGAGTATTATGTTATTATTATTATTGTTAGGGGATGTGTCGCTGCGACCGTCGGGTGTATTGTTTCCCCTTCTGGGTTTAGAGTAGGTCTTTAAGCCCTGTTGCGTCAATAAAAAATAGTATTGAACCTATTTTACAGAGTTTTATTGCCTCTTTCGTAAGAATATACATTCCCAAGAGCCTATTTCTCTTCACAGAATCTACAGTTTGCATCCGTATGTACATCTATTTTCGTAAGGTGGTATTTTGGTTTACAGTGCCCTGTTACGATTCCTGTGATGATTTTAAGATTTTCTTTTGATAGGTTCATACAATTTTGGTAACTCTTATTATTATAGGTACCAATAAGTAGTTTGAATTATGTTAATCCTGGTATATTATCACAGTAATCCTTTTTATTCTCGTTCTATTTTATTTTTATAAGCTCTATAGACAAAGAACGATTAGGAAAAATCACAGTAAACCGCAATCCCCATAAGAACCATACTTAAACCTACGACTTATTGTATATACAATTAAAAATAGAAGTTTTCAAAACAGGATTGAAAATTACAAGAATTATTTCAATGTCAAAGGAATTATTACGTTATTAAATTTAACACAAATAAATTATTAATCAATCAAAATTAATTTTATCTTGTTTAAAGTAGACACCATCGAGTGCAATAAAACTGTGTCAGCTCTTGATCCAATTCATCATCATATTTTCACATATGATGATTTAGATATGGACTTCAGCTTCTTTCACGAATTTGCTTCTACGATCGCAATCAACTTAAAGCGCCTTTCTTGAAACGCTAGTTCCAGATTTTGCATGGCAACACGGTATAAAGTTGCAACCCTTGCGAAAAAAATGGAGATGATATTACAACGAACCTTTTCAGGTAATTGTAGCTGAGGTAACTCACCGAGCTTAGTGGTTCTTTTCTATTTCTATTATGTTCTTTTTCTATTCTGCTAAAAATAAAATATTAGAATATTATAATTTGGATTTCTGCTGTATGTTATTTTTGTTTAATGGAATTTCAGTCGTGAATATTCCACCGTACACCATGATTCAAACTCTTAAGATGTTTAATTTTGCATGCCTGAGATGAAAGTTTGAAATACGAGCACCAAGGCTTAATGCTAATATGGATCGTAGACTAAGGAGGCTAAGTCTGTAAACTTTCGGATATTGCAACGAACATCAAGAATTTTTAGGAATCTTCTTTGGATCTTTAAATATTGGATATCGCAAGGAATACCACGGCCTAAGTCTCTAGGATGTGAACATTTAGAAGCTTAAGATCAAAGTTTCAGTTACCTCGGTTTAATTGTGAATATAGCAAATAACATGATTCCAAAGCAGATTGGTTTAGGCTCAAATATTAATTGTGTTGATTGCAATGAACCTCACAGTTTTACTGGGAAGAATTAAAACTGTGAGGTCCACCTATGTTATTAGGTGGACAAACTGGGATGTTTGTCTCATCAGCTCACATTTTTGTTTATATATCTTTTTGTTGTTTGTTGTTTTGTTGTTAATAAAAAAAATTAATAATTGTTGTTTGCTCTTAATAAATTTATTCAAAAAATATACTTAGAATAAAGAATTTAAACTTTTAAAATTATAGATAAATTTTATTTTGTTTTATTTTTTTTTTTTATTTACAACTATGAAAAATAATATTTTAAGATTATTTTATTTAATATATGTTTGGCTACTTACTATATCTTTTCACCGCGTCTTTTAAATTATAATTTCTTTATTATTTTTTCGCTGAATGTTTATCTCCAAATAGTAAACTTATAATGGATAACAACCCTACTAAATACGTTCCATATTCGCGTAAAAATTTAAAATCCATTTTAAAAATATAGTATATTCAGCTGCAAATAAAACTGAAAGGAATTCCATGCTCTACTCGGTACGTAAGAACAATAATACCATTATTATTTTTATTATTAAAAGAAGTGATCGTGCACTGCGACCTGAAAGATCTATTGTGCGCCTTAGTTGGATTAGAGTGTTTCTCCAAGTCCGATTTTTTTAATTAAAGACAGTATAGAGCTTATCTTTCTTAATATTGAATCCTTATGATCCATGAAATACTCTCCTAGGTGTTTCTTCCACTTGTGCATCAGTGCCGGGCACTCCTCAAGCACATGGTATGCAGTTTCTTTCTCTTCTCTACAGTATCTGCAATCTGAGTTGGATTGAATTCCTAACTTTGATAGGTAATTATTCAATCTACAGTGACCGGTCATGGAGATACCTCTATGGTATATCTCCATAAAAATTCGAACAAATTAAATAGAAAAATCACTGCTTTTATTTGTGGATATAACATTAAGACACAATATATTAATATTTATATAATAAATTTGTGTTGAAATTATAATAAACAAAAAATATATATTAAAATTGTTTAATAAAAAAAAAAAAAGCACTTAAGGGATTATAGAAGACACACAACAGACAAATAACATATAAAGCAGTTTCGTTCTAAAAGATTTGAAAAGTTTTAATTTTTGCATAATATTCTTAAAAAAAAAACTCACTTTCAAAACTTTTGAAACTTCCCTTGAACAATGGACAAAAACAATTTAAGCAATTAAATATATACTTTTATTATTAAAAATTTTTTATAAAATAATTTTAAAAATATTTTAATATAAATATAAACATAAATGGTATATATATGAAATGGTTACATAGTTATATTTACAATGTCTTTTGACAAAAAACAAGAAATTATATATGAATATGTATATATATTTATATAAGTATATATATCAAATAGACAGTTATGTAACATAAATTAATATAACACCATATTGGACGGATTGGTACTGATATTCGAGGCATTAAATCGTAAAGCTAAAAGCTTTTGCTACGACTTTCTTTAGTTAAAAATAATTATAAAACTAATAAATAATTGCATTTATTATTTATTTTTTAATTTAATTTGAACAAAATATTAAAAGTAAAAATTATTTTAAAATTAAAAAATAATTGCATTTATATATAATATGTGATTTATTTTTCAATTTGATTTAAAAACTAAAAATTAAATATTTTAAAATAAAAAAAAATAATTATATATATTAAGTTTTAGTTTAATTTTTTTATACTTGAAAGAAATTTAATTATTTTTTTTATCGAGTGTTAAAAAAATATATATAAAATATATATTTATTTAACGATCACAAATATTAACTTTTAAAATTTTACAATAATTAATATTATATTTACCATTTAAAAAAGTAATTATTTATAATATATTTTTTTTTTGAATTAATAATTAATAAATAATAATAGTAAATATATACAAAAAAGAAAACTCATGGAAGATTATTTAAAAGTTATTTAAATCAAAGAAATATAAAATACATTTTTATATTAAAAGATATAAAAATATATAAAAGATAATAATATAATATGTCTTATTTATATCTTGTATGGCTACCTTTATATACTCCTAAAGTACACTGCGCGAAATAAGGATGCATTTGCCAATGTTCTCTTTTGCTCTAGGATATGATCAAAATTAAACGGCACTGCGTGAATTAAGGATGAATTTTCCAATGTTCTCTTTTAACCAAGGATATAATATATTGATTATATATAAAACTATATCATTATATAGTTTGTAGTTTATATCATTATATATCATTATATAAAAACTATATCATATCATATTATTATACGAAATGATATCCTATATATACATATAAAAAGTTTACGATATAAAGATCGTTGCTTCAAACCGGCATATAGTAACGATAGGATCTATGTCCTGAAGCCACTCGTCATACACTTCAAAGGGTATTTATAAACCCTTTGGAGTTTTATTTTCCGCAAACCAGTGATTTCTAACAGATTTTTCTAGAAAAAAGAGAACTATCTAATCTACAGAGACTTGAACCAAACTTGAATTTAAAGTGAGGTTGACAAAGTAGGGAATATATAGCCTTTATTAATTTTTAAATAAAAAGTTTTTAACGTTATTACTTGTTATATATATCAAACTATATATATTTATTAGCAGAAACTAATTCTTAAATTGGAATGGTGGGTTCTGAAATATGTTTAAGCATATTTATAATGATGTAATATAAATTAAGAATGTACTTTATAAAACTTACTATATTATTATGTTTATTACATGAAATATATTAATACAATTTTAAAAGGCCCATTGCGAAATTATAGCTGCATTGTTTAAAAGGTCTTTTATAATAATATACTAATTACATATAATGTTTATTTTAATAAAGAATAATAGTAATGATTTATTAATATTGTATATATTATATAAAATAATACTTCTATATATGTATTTATATATTATTGGTTCATATACTTACAATAATTAAACTGTTGAGATCTTAAAGACCCGTTTTACTTATAATATTTGCATTTTGTCTCTTAAGATAGTTAGAACTTAGAAGTCATATATATATACATATATATATATATATATATATCAATTAATATAAAACATAATTCCTAATAATTAATATTAAAATTTTTTCTTATTAATCAAATATACAATCTATAATAAATAAAAATATATGATGTATAAAAACTAATTTCATTTTTTGTTATAATATATAAGCTCTTTTTGTATTTGATTTGCATTTGTTCGTTAACTCTTTAAATGCATAACGATCCAGATATAAAGAGTATTCACCAAAAATGTACACTAAAAATGTTGACATTGTCCCTTCTGGAAACGTTTCCTCAATCCAATCTCGTTTCCCAAACAATCTCCTTCTCCTATCAGACTTCCTTCACCTAACCATATCCTAAAGCGCGGTGTAGATTATCATTTTTAAATGTTCTTCAAGTTGCGTGCTGTCTTACTCAAATTTATTCTAGTAACCGAACTTGAACATGCTCATATTCAAGAGTTGTTATTCAAGCAAAATTTTTGAAGAATAAGGGTGTTTGCGTACACTGTAAGTGTGTTAGTGTAACTACGCAAAAATATGCTCTTGATTGACGAATGCATGTTATTGGGTGACAGATTATCATTTACAACAAATTGGTAAAAAGCTAAACGATGTGCTCACCAAAATGTTGGTTGCGTGTCATTTAAAGATTCAGACTATCATTTTTAAATGTGTTTATTCTTGGATTTTTTCTCTTGAATGACACACAAAAATGATAGCCAGCTCCGTGCTTAACACACGTGAACATATTTGTAATTCCTGCACCATACATAACAATATCCGATTACCACATAACAATAATAAGAACTATGATTGTTGATTAAGTACAACCACTGAGCACTATAGATATATGAACACCCTTTTGAATGTTTCGAGGTTTGAACTTGAGTCTATAAAAGATTCCACGAAGACCCCCTATCGAACCGTTGCATTACGGTCCTATCCTACCGATGTAAACTATATGAGTAATATTATTTTCCATGTAAAAAGGGCAGTGAAGAGGTTGCGCTGTAATATAAATAATAAGTAATTTTGAATATATCTCAGGTAAATTGTTAATTTACCCTAGAAATAATTGAAGTGAATACCCTGTATTTTTTATGCTTCATAGCTTTCACATAAAAAATAATCAAATTTGGAATGTTATGCATTTAAAGAGCTGTAACTTATACTGATGTTTGCGGCACACCTTCAATTACCTGAGTACGTGCAGCCGTTTGCTGGCTCTGTGGAATGATCGTTCGTGGTTGTGGTTGCGCTACAGGAGGAACACTAGCCTTTTGCACGTAAGGTGCAGTGGAAAGTGTTGCTGTTGTAGTACGCGCACTGGGTACTGGCGTAGTGCTACGACTGCTGCCAACTACTGAAGGAGCTGTTGATGCTCCTTTCGATTTGTACAATGGTTGTTCAACGGTGGGTCCGCTTGTCTGTTGTGGCAAAGTAACAGGTTCGCGCTGTAATAAACGTTTTTCTTCTACTGTTTTCGGTTGTACCGTCATTGCGGTGCCATTTGTCACACCGCGTGAACTGACACCATCTCGTTCAGCGTCGTTACGTACTGATCGTGTGGCAGCAGATGTATAAGAGGACAAGGTACCGCCGCCACCACCAGCGGTTGATTCTTTAAGAGATATGGCTGATTTAAGTGATGATTGACTGCCAGATTTTTGTGTCATGGCCAAGGAACTTGGTGAACGTATTGACGTTGTATCGGTTTGTGCTTTTGAAGCAAGTGTTTTAGTGGATGGTGAATCCCGGTATTCATATATATTATCACGTGTGCGTAATGCATGGTGATTTGTTACCATGTGCGAGTTATCAACACCAGTTTGGTGTATATCATGTTCAAGTTCAGTGCCATCAGGATTTATAAAAACATCTTCATCATAGAAACGATCTGTTTGTCTATAAATATAACATATTTCATTTTTGTCAAATTATAAATCGTAAAACTATATCATTTGATTACCTCTTCGCATTACGCCACATTATACAGCATATGAAGACTAAGACAATTAGAAAGAAGCACGCGACTGACATGCTCCAAAATGCAATTTGCAACGGTTCCTTTGGCTCCCACCAATATTCTGTCGTTGGTGGATAGGTGGGCACTAGTACACCTACAACAGTTGGCAAATATTGCGTCCAAAAAGCGCACTCGGTTTGTCGATAATTGAACAAAATGGATGAATTAAATGTGGTATTTATATTAAGATAACGCAATTCGCCTTGATAAGCTCGCTCATAATGCATGCCCAAAACTTGTTGTGGGGTGGGATTTCTATAATATAAATAAAAATATTATTGATATGGCAATAAATAATATTGATCACTTGTTTCCTTACCCATAACGCGCGAAATTAGAAAAAGTTTGCAAGAAAAAGTGGCTCATATTACGATCATTGTCGGTCCACATGTTGCGTTGTAAATGATCTTTTTTCGGAAAGAATTCAATATCCATGAAAGGTGCTCCAGTCAGAAAATAGTGTTCAATGTCGTGTGGGTACTTGCGCCACTGAGGCAACTTAAGCGCTTCAACAGTTGTATTCATAACATAATAATATACTGGAACTTTTTGCTCTAACAGAACTTTAACTATTTGGTCAACGGGTGCACGATAATATAAATCGGAAAGCATGTTTATATATTGATCGCGTATAATTGAACTATTATTCGGATCAGGCCAATAAGTATACATATATTTAATGGCTTCGTATACACCATTTGGATTTAGCGTGTAGTTATAGCGAAATACATGTTCTCGTATTTTCTGATCAAAAAACTTGTTATCAATTTCATAGTACGGTGCTAAAGTTTCGTTTTGTGATATAAAGAAGGCTGCCTCTTGAGTTGTGACGCCTGTCATATACTGCAAGCCACGATTAAATTTACCTTGACGTATAAGACTTAAGGGCATTTCAGATAAAAAGTGCCAATCTTTTTCACGCCAACCTTCATACCAATCATCACCTGGTACTGTGAAATTATAATCTAATACTGGACCCCAGGGAAAAGTGCCAACTTGAGGTGGAAATTCCGCATTACCAAGCTCGTAGAAACTTCGACCAGTACGCAAGCAGTTTATAAGCTTCCATGAAGATTCAATGGAGCAACCCAATAGTTGACCTAGAACACGACTAGTATTTTGTGCTCTATACTTATCTTGTATTAGTGCCCAATCAGCTAAGCTAGAACCAGATTGTGCTATAACTCGTCGAACAATATTACGTGTTTGTGGTGCAACCATTAGTAATCCTGCTGAAGCTGCTCCAGCACCAGGACCAAATAATGTAATTGAGTCACGATCACCATTAAAAAACTCAATATTATCGTGTACCCATTTTAAGGCCATCGCTTGATCTAATATACCATAATTACCAGGCGAATTTTCATCAGCTGTTGACAAAAAGCCGAGAGCACCCAAACGATAATTTAGTGTTACCACTACAACTTCATAGTACGAAGCTAAAATATGTCCTTGAAAGAGATTGGAGGCACCGCGTATGAATTCACCACCATGTATGTAAACCATAACTGGATATTTTTGTGCGATACCAGCACCTGTCTATAAACAAAAAAAATAGTTGGTTTTAACTTAGTCGTGGTTTTGCATTATTGGACAAAACTCTAGTATTGGATGCAGATCTCTTGACTTGATGTGTTCATTTTTTTGCGCGATAAATGAAAGAATTGAGGAATTATTTTACTAGTTAATGGACGTCAAGTCTGACCTGTACATTGTTCTCAGATCAATGACTAAAACCAATATTCATGGGTTTTATAGTTTCCAATTGCTTCACTATTCTATCTCAAGTCTCTGAACATACTTAATATGCTTTTTCTTTATAATATTATTAGGAATAAAATATGCAATAAAAAAATCAGAAAATAAATTCTTAATATTATATATATTATAACTACTGCACATCATAATAAAATATATATCATAGAAGGGTTCCTCTTAGGAAAAATAGTTTTATATATGATATTCTTTCGTATATGATCATATATTGCATTAAAAAATTGACTACGTTTAAGTATAGTAAACCAACATATGATGACTAATATTCATAGGGCACAATAGTCGTAAGACTATTATAAACTATTATAACTAGGTTCAAAAAACCTTTACAATGGATTCTTTGATAATAAAGTGGTTTGTAGCGGAAGAATTCTTTATGACTACACAGCTAAACAGCTCGTTCGGCTATATAACTACAGTAGCGCATCTCTCGTCAGTAAAACAAAACTGAGGTTGTTGACAAGTTATTTGACAAGTTATGAATTAGCCTGGAGCCTGAATTATAATCTCAACATAATGGATTTTTATGCATTTTCTAGTAAATTCTCTGTGATTCTCTAGCTGTAATCTGGACCTGTCTGATATTAGATTGTTTTCTTTAGATGATATTTTTTCTTAAATTCAGAAGGTGGAATATGTAATGTTCAGTTCGAGTTCTACTGTAAGCATAAAAAATTACCCATGGTCATAGTGTTCTACTCCACTAGGAGCTAACAACTTGTATATATTTCACTCTATTTTTTTTCAGACTGAACATCATGAAATCTTTTAACGGATTTCAGTAGAATTGATAATTTGGAATGGCAAAATGAATATTTTTTAAAAGCGTCGTCTATATGTCGGTTCAAAAAATTTTTCACCTAGATATTGTTATCTTTACATAATTAAGAAAATAGAAAGTGGCGCCCGAAACCTCGTAATATAATAATGACTAAGGCCTGGATTAGAAACTTGAAAAAGAGTGAGCTGAAAAAACCGATGAGGTATATATATATATATATATTTGTATATCTTTTTCTATTTTTATTTTCAATAATTACCAAATGAATTTTTATTGTACAATATATATATAAAATAATAATTTTTCTACTCACCTTTGGAGAAAATATATTTAAATATAAGCAATCTTCATCCATATCGATAATGCCTTTTGTGGCACCAGTATATCGCACCGGTTGTGGACAAGCAGGTCCAAAATCAACAGCCTGTAGCATTTGCCAACCTCGATGCAAACGAGGTGGTTTAAATCTACCTTCAAATGTAGGTGGTAAGGCATAAGGTATACCCAGAAAAACAGAACATTCGCCCATAAGGCGATCCACGGTTGAATGATAAGGTCGATAAAATGATTTCGGATCGGGATTATCGTACATATAAACCTTAAAGCCTTGTACTTGACCATAATTTGTAGTAACAAAGACATCTCGCTCCAGTGTCATTGAATCGCGTCGCTGTTTGCCTTGTAAGTCCTCACGCCACCCAGCTAATATGCCCGGAAGGGGTGTGTTAGAATTTGGATTATTCTGAAAAAAAAAGACAAATATGAAAACGTACATAGATTCGTAAAAAAAAAATAAATAATACTATATAAAGTAGACAATATAAAATAAAATGTTAAATATGAATAAAACGTTAAAGCACAAAATTAAAGGTCCATTATGCATTGTTGGGTTTATATATTTGTAAACATTTGAGTGTCATTACGAGTATTATTTGATTATTTGAAAAATGACATTCAGCCGAGATCAATTACGAGATCAATTACTGAATTGATCTTTTGGTCTTAGCGATATGCAAGCACATCTAATTAAGATTTTGAACGCACATTAAAATCGCTTGAAGCTAAAGATCAGTGCAGATAATTTGTGTCTTTGCTTCGCCTACGTGTTTACGATCGCATCGAGCCGATCTTGCTACGTAGCATTTATTTATCCAAGTATGGAAATTCAATTAAAAAATTAATGTTCAAAACTGTAAAATAAATAACGTGTTCTCATTCTTTACAAAATTCTTCACTGAATGACAATTCTTTGTCTAAAGTAATTACAATTTTTCATAATTTTTAATTATTAGTTTATATTAATTGCTCATAAAAAATTAACTGACTTAACTGAATCGTTTGAGTTTGAACTTGAACTATATAAGAAAGTAGGTTAAAGACTGATAATCCAAAAAAATTTATACCCACTCTTTCTCAGATAAGATCAGATAAGAGCTATATGTTTCTTATTTCATATGAAAATAAAATGATGCATTCACATCTTATATCTCTCTCTTCACTTAGATATATGTACGAGATATTTTTATTTTAAAATAAAATTGGATTCTGGATTATAACTTTTTTATATAAATTTGTACTTTATCCTAATATAACATGAATAATGCTAGCTTTAGAATTGATAAGCTTTGTGTCAATGATTTAATATAACCTTATGATCTTGGTAGTTCACATTTACATATATTTTTCAAAGGTCTATGATCATTGAACGTTTCTTTAACAAATTTGTTGGATTACGATATACAAGGTAGGCCAATTTAGTTGGATCCATCTGGTAACGCTATAACTTTGACAAGGAAGATGAGAATGACATGTTGGAAAAATCAGTCTTAAGAAATTTTTGCTATGGAACAGTATAGACCAGTCGAATGCGCTGAAATTTAGACTACTAAAAGTCAAAGTTTTATATCAACAATCCAAGAGCGCTTAAAGAAACATCGGCAAATACATTCGAAATACATCCAAAAAATGGACACATTACGTTAATCGATTTAAAGGTGGCCTTTTGCGCAATATAATCTTAAGATAATAATATAATCAAAACTTCTTAAACCGATATAAATTATTTTTCATTTAAATAGCAATAAATGTGTTTTTTTTTCATGTTCTGATTATTAAAGAGATGGGTCCAACTATAATTATACAATAATAATTTTTTTTTTGGGCACAATAGATATTTTATGTCGGGGTGCTTTAATAGCCTATTACTTAAATAAATAAAAAAATAACCAACCCTGTATAGGACAATTCCGAAATTTTAACCATATCTAGACTTATACCACTAAAAATTACTAATCATGTTTCTGTAGCATACGCCAAAGTCGATGATAGCACTGTCATTATCACTTTAAAAGAATATACGATCTAATTGGTCAATACATGTAGTTAAATAATACATAATAATAATATGTCATCTTCAAGATGCCACTAGCTTTTATAGTACCCAGAAGATGATAAACCAATATTGCTATATTATTATAATAGCTAGTAATACTCTAAAGCTGACTATAGAATATAGTCGAAATTTTGGTTTTAATAAAATTTTTTTAGTACAAAAATGATTTATTAAAAAATATTATTTAACTATTGACAAATTAGACCGTTTAGAAATAAAATTATTATTAAAAAATACGATATAGTTATAAAATATCTCCAGACCAAAAGCCATGCCTAGTTACTAATTTTCATGGCTAGATTAGGTTACGTTGTACCGGTGATCCAAATAAATCCACTTCGGTCAATTGACTCATTGTGTTACCGTATAAGGAAAATTTAGAAGATTTATTTAATTTTATGGATATAACGTATTAAAATTTCCGAATTTTAAGCCCGAAATCTCAAAAACTAAACAATACTGATATGTAGTTTTGTGGAAGACGTTGTTCAAAATACTCGTAAGTAACTCAACTAAAGTCCGTTGTCAAATGGGCGTGTTCAAAAATTGGAAATACTTCCCGAATTTAAATTGTTTATGTCAGAAAGACCCTGTATATGCTGTGAACCTCTATTAGTTACTTGCCGAATGCATTCATATACAGTGTATTTGACTGATAAATTAAACACCAAAGTAAATGAAAATGTTGATGATATAAACATTCTAGTTGATGATTGATTTCTGTTCATATTTATGATGAAATATTATTCTATTTTTCCTACCCTTGCTGTAATTATAATAAAAATATGAATGATCATATATCAATCAAATGAAATACTCAGAAAGCGATAGGAAGCTAACTGCTGGTAATAATGTAAATCTGAAGACTCCGCATTTAATCTGATATATAAAAAAAATTTTATCTGTTTGTTGCCTTAAATTCAGAATAGAATTGAATAGATACGTACGTCTATTTTATACAAAAATTTGAATATTGTAAACAAATTAATTCAAGGAAAAAAACGTTTATATTTGGCTTAAGAAAGATCAATTATCAGTCAGCAATGCAGATCAGTGATGAATAACAAATAAGATAAGTATGTATATTTCAAAGATTGAATAGTTAAATTAGTATATATATATTATATACATTTACTTTCTTTTTCAGATTCTTAACAAATTTAACTGTTGTGTTCAATATAATGTGGAATACAGAGTGCATCCTCTCTTGTGTTTCTATATCTTCTTTACTAAAATCTATAGCAATAGCTAAAATTTATTATAAAAGTAATAAATCTATTTGGACTACTTTTGCGAATTATATGAAATTGAATATCAATGTAAATGACTTATATATATTATGGAACGCTGGGAGAGCGCACCGTCCATGAAGTGGCCCCCACATAACTACATCTTTTGTTACAGCTTTAGGTTGGCTCCCAAGTCATCATTAACCCAATGGAGTCCCAAGACATTCTTCTGCTTACCAGTGCTGGATATTGGCACAACATATGCACCGCTGTGCCTTTTCTTCTAGACAGAGTCTGCAAGTGTCATCATCAACAAACGTTTTTTGAGGTGATACTTAAAGTTTCTATATCACAATCACAATCAATAGACGTTGTTTTCAAGAGCTTGGTTCTTATTATTCCCGCCTGGAATATTTCTTATAATTTAATAAGCTTGAAACACAAATTGAAATAATACCTTGTGTGTTAAATGCGAAGCCATGGTTTAAATTAAACGGGGTTCAATTCGTGACATTTACAGTCCCAAAATAATATACGGACAATTAAAATAAATAAATAATAAAATATAATAAAGTTTGGAAACCAGTGGTTTTTAAACCCCATTGATAATCGTTATTTGATAATGGTATTTGAAACAGCTATATGGTCAGTCAAAGAATTTACTTTACTCAAAATGTAATAGATTTCCCCCTTTTTTTGAAATGGATTTTATGACATGGTAAAAAAAGTCTGTTTTATTATAATAAAATAATAAAATAACAATAAAACAATAAATAAACATAACATAACAATAACGCATTAACGCATTAGTAGAAGCACCGACGACAAGCAAAGCTAATCAGACATATATATGTAGATTAATGTATCAGCTACTTGGAATTGGTTGTGAGAAGGAAACAAAAGTAGAAGGAAGAAAAATTAGAAAAAGATGAAGGTCCAGAATTTAACGTGGGTACCTGCCACGTCAGCAGGTACCTCTACTGATCCTTGGAGCACAGCACCCGGTTGAAAAATGCAATTCCACAACGAATGATTGAAAATGAATACAATCATTCTACCCACGCAAGTTTGGGTTTTAACACAATCACAATGATACTCCCTTTAAAAAGTCAACCTCAATGGTCAGGACAGCCGAAGCTGCGGGCCTTGATTATCGTGGTGCCAGTTTTTCACCTCCGATCGGTTGTCGTATGTGAAATTCACGAACTACCAGTGATACTCTACAACGATCGGACGTACAACGAACAGATAAAAGCGGAGTTACAGAGCTGAAATCAGCCAATTTAAAATAGATTAAGCACAAGCCCCAAATATTTAGTACTGAAAGTCCAGCATCCATACTAAAAAGTTTGACGCTACAAATTCACAAATTTGGACTGAGTCAGCGATTTATTGATACCATCCAGAAGAGGGTTATAATCAGAGCATTCAACCGGAATTTTTTCCATTCCGATTTTCGTTCCGGTTCAAGACAAAAAAAAATGTCGGTTTGGTTTCGGTTTTTGTTCCAGCAAAAATATCGATTTTTTCCGATTTTCGGCAGGGTTCCGGTTTGATGCCCTGATTATAATTGATTACTATACGACAGTAATATGAATATCAAGTAAAAATAGTATATGTATTTAATGTTGGGGTTGGATCATTACAATTTAAAAAAGTTGCCCAACGAGGAATAAATAAAGTATAAATAATAATAATAGTTCATATTTTTTTTTTAATTTTATTGTTTAATAAAAGAAAAGAAAAATAAACGAAAAATAATCTTTTTTCTTATTTATATTCTATTTATTTAATGGGCAATAAAATTGTACTTACTGGATCAAATCGAAAACGTTCCTCATTTGGCATACCCTGCGGATATTGACCTGGTGAGTTTCTACCCGGATAGTTTGCACCATAACCATTTGGTTGATAGTAACCATAACGACGGTCATTATGTGTGTATGTTCTATAACAAAAAAAAAAAAAGAATCCAAAATAAAATATATTATCATAAATTAGGTAAAGAGAAATGTAATAGTTGCCAATTTACCTGTAATCTGGATCACCAGGATTTGGCCATTGATAATCATTGACACCGACTCTAGAGTAAAATCGAGGATCACGAGTTTGCCCGTGAACACCAATCTGAGGTATGAAGTCGCTCAACGCCAAACAACTTAGAACTACGGCAGTGATGAGCTTCAGTTTCAATTTGTCACGATATTTAAACTTTTTTATTTCATTCGCTGAACTTTGTGCCGGTGCACGGGGAGTATTTACTAGATTTATGGGCATCGTGACCGATATTTTTGTGTGAGCTTAACTTTATTTATTTGTACTTTGGTGTAAAATTTGAACATTTGCTTTTCGCTGTTATGAATTCATCTTTTTCGGCTCGCTTTCCTTGTATTGTTTGTGTAAAGTGTTTAATCTGAAACGAGTCCACAAAGAAGAAAGGATTATTTATACAATAAACAATAAACAATAGACAATAAATAAAAATAATCTTGATAGTTAACCTCCTTGTAATATTTGAACCAAGTTTTCAATTTAGTGATCAGATTAAAATTACAAGGCGTAGATATTCACTGAGCACAGCTAATGTATATAACTTAAGACTTTGCTTAAATTTTATAAAATCGTTAATCGTTAATTAATTATGTTAATTTATTATTTTTACTAATTATTAAGCTGCAAACAATGGGTTTCACAATTATTTGCATATTTTCTTTTTATATAGAGCTTACTTAGATGGCTAGAAATACTGTAGTCTGTCAAATACAAAGAGATTTCCAACTTAAACAGAACTTTATAAATATACGCAAAATAAGATTTTTGAATAAAGACGACTTATTTTATTTTAAATAGAACTCTTCTGACTTAATGAAGTGAATTATATGGATATATAGACTGCCCGACAGAATTTTATTCCGAATGTTGGTACACGTCTTATGAATGGCTTCTATGTCGACAAAACGCTTTCCTTCTTTTGCAAATGCATTTTCAGCCAAAAATGCAATTAATTTAAAATAATAAAAAATATTTTTTGTTTCAATTCACTACTCTTCGATATTGAAAATAATAATTTATATTAAGAATTTAGTTGCTTTCGTCAAAACGAATGTTAGAAATCAATCAAATACATTTTCCGAAAAGATATAAGTCGGACATTGGTTCAACTTCAACTCAATAGTGTTTTTTGTAATGATAAAAATGATATACAATGGGGTCTTGTAGTAATATAAACAAAGAATCAATAAAGTTCTTACTTTACCGACGCATATATTGACAATAGATGGCATTAGTATAAATATCTATCATTCAAAAGTCAAATTGAAAGCATCAGTATGCGAAGAATATAGATGTTAATCGACTACCATTAGTTTATTAACCAAAGGATAAAACCTATAGGAATAGATATAGTTATATCAAATTATGGAAAGCACTTGCAATCACTTTATATCAAATAAAAAAAATTTTACTTAATGAGTGCAAAAGTTATGTTGAAGCATTAATTTTCCAGAATTAAATCATATTCAAAAATTTCCATAATCAATCATAATTCCATAATCAAAAACTTATTTACAGCTTACTTAGGGACTTACAAATTTAAAACAAAACATTCGAGACTTACAGATTAAAAATCCAAAAAACTTTTGAGGCTATCTCCTAATAAAAAAAAGATTAAAGATAAATCACTTCATATGGATCGACTATAATATCTCAAGCACACAAAGGCTATCATGGTCAATTATATATTCTGATAGAGATTATCATCAGATTAATCAATATAAGCCGTTGTGATCAGTAGAATAGGCAAAAAAGGTAAGAACATATATATTTTGTTGCAGGAAAATAAGTTCCATGACGTGACTTTAAATATTTAAAAAACTCAGTAAATGCATCAATCTGGTACACACCACTATTTATACACGGTTAAACTGCGAATAATGACATTTTATCTACGATACTATATTTTTGTATAATGAATATAAAATAGGTATATAGGTTATAGGTTAGGTTATACCGGCGATGCCTAGGGGATCCACTTAGACCTATTGGCCCATTGTGTTACCATATATAGAGGAAACTCAAGGTTTAAAATCACCTAGAATCATTGGCGCAACTTAGAATGCTGTTGAGAGGTCTTGTAATTGATCAAGCTCACCGATGTGCATGAGCTGGGCAAACACAAAGTAGATGAGGGGCACTTTAATCATCTTCCCCACAGCTGCGAAAGGTATGATTGAAAAAAAGATTTAATATTCTAGCACGGTTCGCTATCTCTGCAGTAATCTGTAAGTACACCTACCACAAAACTAATATCTCTAGGGAACATCTCAATAAGAATGCTGGATTTCCTTTTAGTGGAAAGTGGCCAGATTGCATACAAATGCCTGCATATCGTCAAGTCTTCCCATCTTTTATTAAAAAATTTTAGCACAGAAAATAGGTATATAATTCATTGAAAATTTTTTTTGCTTATTTTCTAACAAATCAAGACTCAGTGGATGAACTATAAACAATGTGTCCATACCTGCTGAATTTGAATCACGGACCATTTTTAATCATCCGTTAAAACTACCGATTGGGAATCATTGTTTGAAATTAAGTAAATTGTTTGCTGACCACACAGCTGTTTGTGATATCGCCAAATATTCATAATCCATGCGTATTTATATACTATATGGAATATAGTTAATTTCTACCCTATTATAATTAGCGTTAAGGTCATGATAGACTCTCTTTCAAATTCCTCGCAGTGCTCTAGATTGAGCTTTATTTAATAGCTTGTCTTTAATATTTAAAATTGCAATCAAGTAAATCCGTTAACAAACTATGATTCCGATCTGACATCTGACAAAGTTTTTGAGAATTTTTGAAATTATGTTATAGATATATGAATTAAGAAATATAAAGTATTTTAGCTTATTATTCTAATTAAACAATTTTGGAAATGATTTCATACCACAATGTATGTTATAGCTCTGAATTAATTTACAAACTTGAACATTCTGCAAGACGTCAACAATGACATCGTTATCATGACGCATAAGGTTCGGTTATGAACTTGATTCGCCATATCAATATAGTATAATACATGTATATGGAAGAGTTGTCGTACGGAGTGTTTATCAACGCCGTATTCTTATCGCAACTTATCATTTTATTAGTATATTTCAAATGTTTTTTTTCCCACTACCAAAGTATACTACTTTATCAAATAATTGATCAAATCTTTACACATAGTCACAATCCATTCGTGAGTAATTTAGCTGACTTGCTTGGAAGTCATTTGATGTTTGCTTCAACTTCCTCTGACTAATGTCAAATGTTAAGTTCAAACTCAAATTGTGTCAATTCAATTGAAACCCAATCGTCTGGAACCGTATTTGATGACACATTATTCGCTTTGATATGTACTTGTATTTTCTACTAAAAGATTTATATGTGCTTCTAGAAATCTAATTAAAGTCCATTTAAAAATATGACTAAGGTTATTAATTAGTAGATCTGTAAATAAGTTTCATGTATGAATTTATTCAGCTACGATTGGAAGAAGATTGGAATAAGAAAAAATAAAATTTCTTGAGCTTAATTAGAATAATTAATTATTGAAGTGTTATAACATAGGTGTTAAAAGAAAAACTTTATTTTTATTTATAAACACTTTCTAATACTATATATCATATCTACCACAGCCCTAAGAAATAAATTTAAGAATGAAATGTAGTGATTCAATTTCCATTAAAACTTTTCGGAAGTCACTTTTAGTGTCTTCATAAACACTAAACACTTTAATACTTAAAAGCCTTTTTTAATAATAAATCCTTAACTAGGATTAGACCTAAGATCGGAACGAAGCCCTGCGATCATGATAAATATTTTGTGCTGAGCTAACATGAAAAAAACAGACTGAGCTCTTTAAATGAAGCTCAGATATCACTCGTTAAGGATACTCTAACGGTAAACGAGGATTGAAGACTAGTATTTTGTTTTTGATTTTTGGGTCAGGACAATCACACAGATTCGATATTTTGTCTTCTAAGACGCACCCATTTTAATGGGATCATAACACTGATCATGGTGACTAATCAGATAATGTAGTGGCAACCTCAACTCTGGCCTATTAGGTAGAGAGGTCTTGTCGTAATTGTTAGAACAAACTAGCTCTTTCATACCACTATTTTTGACTTACCCAAAAATAAAGCAAAATACTCAATAATATCGATTAAAATCGTATGAAAAATGAAACGTATTTCTAATGAGAAGTTGTATGTATAAAGGTATACTGCTCTTAACCTTGAAAAATATGTGAAGAACATAGTTTTTATATATAAAGTGCACTGCAAGATAAACAGATGGGACCGGAGTTCTATTCAATCACATATTAAACAATTTAGTATCATTATAAATACCAATTTTCAAAAAGTGCTGTTTACTTTACAATACATCTTGTATAGGTAATATCCAAAGATCAGTATTACTAGTATTATCATTATTACCAAATCATGACATAAAAATAAAAGATTGCTGTCAGAAATCAATCTCATCTAAGTTTTATATACTATAGTGTTTCTAAGTAAATTTTTAATCATTTTATTTGAAGAGCCTTAAAGGTTTAAGAAAGACAAAAGTGATTTATTTTCAGTCTATACTTGTGATATTCCCGACAAACGACTGAACTCATATGATCTGGCTCATCTGTATGCTAAAGATCTAGCTTTTATATGGACTCACTTACAGGTATACAAAAGATTAAGCTATCCTATAGACACACTTAGGTATATGCGGATATATAAGTTATCATATGGATACGCTTACGTGTAGGGTAGGAAATAAACTATCAGATCCAGACGCTTAGGTATGTGCTAAAGAACATAGTTGGAATTTAAAATTTATAGAAGTCTATAGAATTTAGATGGACAAGTATACCTATGTGTATGCTAAAGAGTAGGATTTCAGATGGACACTTTCATGTGTTTTGCAAGGGTTTTAGATGACCACGCTTAGATGTATACTAAAGATTAAGACATCCTATAGACATGCTTGGGTATATGCTAAAGTGTAAGTTATCAGATCGACACACTTATGAGTTTGGTAGGAATTAAGATATTCGATACAGACGCATAGGTATGTACTAAAGAATATACTTTTAGTTGGACAAATATATGTGTATACTAAAGAATAGAATTTCAGATGAACACGTTTGTGTATGTTAAAGAGTAGGATTTCAGATGAACACGTTTGTGTATGTTAAAGAATAAGTTTTTAGACTAAGACGCTTATGTGTGCGCTAGAGAATAAGCTTTCAAATTGAAATGCTTTTGGATATGGTTTGGATATTTTTTGAGATGGACCGCAGAATATCGATTTCTTTTGCACCTTTCTATTCATTTCAAGAAAAATTTGAAATTGTTTTAGTATCTA